GATTACTTTGAGGCCGCGAAATAGTAATCAGCATTGTGTTAGTTGCTAGTAATGAGATACGGTGAGGTCATGCTGCAATGTGGCTTCAGGTTGAGCATTCATTGCAACTGCTAGCACAGGGCACCGCTCCAATGTACGAATATATGCATCAGAACCTTGCACCCCACGCAGCATAGTGGTTTCGGTTGAGTCATTGCTCAATACTTGTATGTGGGAGCGGCGATAGTTCACAATCTGAGGTGTTGCAATAGGATTAAGTAGCCTAGCGAGGAATATACCTGCAAAAGTTATTTTTCATAACAAATCTCTCTTGCTGAGTCGAATTCAGTGCGAAAGTGTATACGGTCATGAAATGCTAAAACTTGCGTCGGTGCTCCACAGCTCTTCAAAGGAGAGACATTTAATTAATGAGTCCATTTCCGCATCGGCAGTCTCTCTTAGTGGGCCGAGTGTGTGCGTCTCTCACTGTGGCTAAGTGACTTAACAGGAGCTGAGCAAGCTATTTTACGGCTACGTTTAACAGGCCGATGCCGCGGTAGTTTTTCACATACCACCATGTTGCCCTTCTTGGAGAATGGAAGCACAATTAAGTTGGTCCGATAAAATGGGTATCTCCGGCTTTCTGAAATCGAGCAAAATAGGGCTTTAAACAATTTGTTGACCACTGAAAGGCCTTTCTTGCAGATTCCATCTTGAATGAGAACCTTACCATACTCTAAGCTAGTGATAGCAATGGTTGTTTCTTCCAAGGCTATATAATCACCGTTGATGATATCTGAAAGGCTGCAGCTACTGCGGTTTTCTGGTCACTTCACTCCAGTGGTTGTACTTATCTGTCCTTGCGAAACGGGTTGTATCGGGTTTGGGGTGTTGTTATTTCCGACAAGCAACTAAACTGGCCCCTGGCCATGTTCGGGAGACAAATGACTTCCTCTGGCAAACAAGATGATCGTGAGGTCACTTGGGAGTTTGATACAAAACTGTTCCTCAGCTTTCCTGGGATCTTCATTTCGAGTGCTTACCTGCAACCTTTGCGAAGTACGGACTGTAAGGCAGCTGTGTCAATGGATATTTTTACCGATGGTTCACAATGAACTTATTTACCATTCGACTGGTGTGATTCAGTCCAGAGGTCCATGCGTCCCTTTTAGTTTGACAGATTTCTTTTATTGCGTTTTTCAGGCAGTAGCCTTCGTTCCTTGCTAAACAGTTACCGTTTCTCAGATGCTGTACCACCTCTCGCTCAGGGTTTTAGGCCTTTGTTAAGCCCAACTACCAAACCGTTTTTCCCGCAGGGAGGGGTGCGTGTGGTTATTGATACATGCTTTATCCTTTTGGAACCACAGCGAGATTTGGGTAAGTTGTGGAGACCAAACAGATGAGGGATCCCCAAGGGATACACCAGTTTGCTATCTTAGGTCCTTCCCTCAGAAGCCCCTTACATCTCATTCTTTTGGGAGCAACTTTCGTTTTTGCGTCAATAACTGCTCTGACAATGGTTTCCAGTAATAATCTTGAGCTGCACAGTGCTCATATAAAATGGACCAATTTATAATTTGGAAACGAGTCTATCTCTATCCCATCGCTTTCGACGCACGTGGGCAGATACCCACCGGTGTTTCACATTGGTACTTGAGTCTTACAGAGGGAATGTTACTTTATCATCCTTCAAACCCCGAAGCACGGGTGGTTAGTACCTTACTTTGAGCTTCAAACAGGACTCTCTCGTTTTCGATAGGTGTTATTTCCACTCTCTATAGAATTGTAACGAAAAAAGTGATTTCCACGCATTTCATATGCACCCATTCTGTTTGCCTTAATTTTCCATTGCTAAGTCGAAAAATCGATTTTCATTCATCAATTTTTGCTACTGTTGCTGGTTCCAAGATCTTTCACCAGTGTATTTCTTCACTTGCTTTTTGTAGGGGGTAAGAGTGAATTGGTTGCACTGGCGAGAGGTGTCGCCCGATGTGCTCGAGATAGACAAATCGCTCTGCTCTCCACTCAACGAGACATTTTACTTCGCAAACTTGCTGCATCCAAGCTGAAACAATCGGATTCTTCGAATGAACCGTCGTCATCAGGGGCAACTGCAGACCTACTTGCGAAATTACGATCAATTGAAGATAGACTGGACAAATTCCGCAGTCTTCCTCAGACACCACCAAAGAGATTATTTTCGGCTTTGACATCTGTTTCGGTGGATGCCAACTATCACTCGATCGGTCTTCAAACAACGGAAATGGAGACAGTGTGGAAAGAACGCATTTTTGAGGGATACCACGGACCGAAGTTCATTCGCGAGCACCATGCCCAAACATGGCGTGAACTTCTGACTTCAGCTGAAGATCTACTTCGATCAAGCGAATGGCAAGAAATAGCTGCAACTGACGTAATTTTGTGGCTTATCTGTTAACAATTCAATATTTTCTTATATGAATGTGTACTTGACTGACTTAATAGTGTTTGGAGTCCCTTGTTGATCCATTTGCTTTTATTGCATTATTGTGTGTAGAAATGGTAGACTTCTTTTGGCACATGGACCATTGCGTTTGGCGAGGGGAATAGGTGGTAATTTTTAACCACATCATATTCCATAGTCAATGTTATTTTGACCACTGAAGTGATTTAATTTAACTTTCATTGGCCGACTGACTTTTGTTAAACCTTTTCATTTATACTAATAATAAAGTCGAAAGCTACGGGGATCGAGCCCGCGCCAGCCGTGGTTAAATTTGAATAGTTTGCTCTACTGTATTATTTGTCCGATGGGCTCTAGTTGATCTGTGGAAACACTGTGATGCTGATTAGTTTATACGTTATCTTACGTGTCTATATATCCGTGTGAGTTGGTAGGGTAATCAAATGTGAGCAAAACATAACTGTCATTTTGGCTTCGTTTCCCAGCTGATAGGGTGTACGCTATACAATTTTTCGGTTTGAATAACCATCAATCTTTCACTTTAGCGCGTCTGCCTTGGTTGTTGTCTTTTGACTTACCATCTGGTAGATCATTGCAGTCAATAACAAGCTGAGGGTAATAATAAAGAACAAATTGTCGTAAGCAGCTTTTCGAATGTATCAAATCGTTTCTGTTCAGCTCAGATTAGACATTCACCAGTCATACAAGCTGCCCATCTGATCTCATCCCGGGAAAGCGAGAGAAAATAAAACCTGGAAATTTCATCAAAGTAGGAGTGTAGAAGTGATTACTGCAAGTGGCATGAATTTTCTAAAAATGAATGTGCCATACATATGTGAGAAGAAAAGAAAGGAACCAACCCCATTTTTGTATCCAAATGGAATATCATCATCAGCTCCCGCGTAACTTGGGCAAACCTCTGGTATGTCGTACAAGGAATTGAATAGCTAGAGTCGTTTGTGGTTCCTATATCCTAGTGGATAGTGGTCTACATAGAGTAGCGCTGTGTCCCAGGATCAATTCTAAACAACATGGGCCGCTTCCAAAACCGGTCTGATTCTTAGAAATACATGGGTTGATCGCAGTTGCATAGTATTTTTGAGTAATTCCCCACTTGTTCATGGTTTTGACGTTTGATCAACGCACTACTTCCTATGCGTTGATCGACTGGAGTGAATCGTCAAATGAGGTCGCTTATGAGTTTTGTGCTCTACAGTGTTTTTTCTTATATCTATAACTTGATATTGTAACAGGCAGTCCACGGGAGATCAGTAATGAATCAGAAAATTGTATTGTACATAACGGCAATCGAAAAGAAAATAGGATAATGTACATGGTGAAACTGGATATCATGAGAGTTTTCAATTGTTTCCGGGTTCTTCGTCTGTGGTTTGGCAATTCTTCACTGTAGTAATGATCAGATGGACTGCAACACAAAGGAAAGACGGCGTCATCAGAACCTCGCAGTTCGAAACACCAGGTTCAATTCAAATGCCGTTTCCCTCTACAATATAATAGACCATAATAATGTATCCGTAATAATGTTATATATGATATTTACCTCTTCGCACTATCGTAAGGACTACAAGGGCGATCCATGTTCACTCAATAAACTTTCTGTCACGTACTCCTCTCTCCGAATTTCCAATGATTAGGTGCGGTCATCAGTCTCACCTACAAATCTTCGCTTGATCTGGTTTCATCGATTACGACCTCAATTAAACCACGGAAACTGGACGGAGGAGGAAGACTTTCGTCTGGTAAAACTAGTGGAACAGCACGGTCAGCGCGGAAAGTGGGATAAAATTGCTGAGGAGCTGGATACCGGGCGTACTGCATTCTCGTGTCTTCAACGTTGGCAAACGAAGCATAATCGAGAATTCCAACGTGTGAGCATTTTTGAGAGACAGCACAGATCATACTATTAATTTATCCTCCCTCCCCATGCTTCCTTTATATTAGCCTCCTTTTGTCTGCATTTTGGTTTTTTTTTGCATATTTCCCACTTCAAAAGAGTCTCAACACGCATTTCTCATATTGCCTTGATAATTAAGTGCATATTTTTACTTGTGAGGGAGGGACTTTGTCTCACATTAGGTAGGTTCGCAGCAACCGCGGCCTCAGTGGAATTCAGCGTACTAAGTCATTCAGGGTCTGGGCGAATCAGCCTATCCAACAGTTTGTGTCCACACGTACGCCTGATAATGGTTGGCAGTTTATCGATCCGTCTTAGCGTGAGTCGCGTTTCTTACCCAACCGACTGGTGTCGGTGGCTGTCGTGTTCGTTCACTCTTAAGCCCAATCGATTCAATATCGAAGGTTAAGCGATCCTCACTGCGGTGATATTTGTCCAAATAACATTGATTATATACGCTTGTCTACTGTACTCGTTGCGGCCTAAGCACACTACCACAGCCCAGTCATCACACACCCATCCGCTGTGCTCCGAACGGCAACTTCATTCTTGTTTCCACCAACTCAGGGGTTTGGAAACAGCGATCCATTTGGGGCTTGTTATCCAGTTCATTCGGTCATGCACCCTTTGAGGGATCAAAAGTGCGGTGTACACCGCAATGCCCTATCAAGCTGATGACCGCTGCCACAATCAAGGTGTTTGTTGTTTGCATAATTCTTCATAGTTGGTTTCTAATCACGGTTTTTAATGAACTCCCCAAGGTGAGTTGCATATGGTTCACCGACGGTCCCATCTGCAGCATTAAAAAGGTGAGTATGTGACCGATATTTTTAGACGTCATCTTTCCTTTGAGAAATACTGCTTTTATCTACTTCACTTATATCGCAAAATGTGCGCACCGAACTTAAGATGGTGTTCTTCAAAAGTTCTGCTAAAGTTCAGCCAATTCCGTTCACACCTTTATAGGGACGCCCATGGACTGCGGAGGAAGACACCGCTTTACTTGATATTCTAAAGCGGCTGCTTGAACACTATCCTCCCACTCTGATCGATTGGCAGGTAGTTGCGGCGTTCCATACAACCAGGGCTGCAAACGAGTGCCGTGCACGGGCCAATGTGATTAGCCCCGTATTTTCCACCTTTCCCGTGCACTGTTTTGGTTCCAAGATATCTGCTGAGCATAACCGAGACATTCGACCCTATACTTTGCGCCCATTCACCCCGAACGAAGATCTTCAATTGTTGATGAGCATTCAACGATATGGTCTCGCTGGTGGTAAACTTGGTAGCGGTGGAGGTGTTGGTGTTGGATCATGGGCGGTTGTTTGTTCCGCTCTACCTGGACGTTCTCTGAGAACTTGTCAAAATCGCTATTTGGAATTATGTGAACAATTCCAACCGTGGACATATTCCGAGGATCGTAGGTTGTATCAAATGCGTCTGCAACTTGAACCCAATGCATGTGTGATACAGAAGAAAGAGGCGTCACATCTTAGTGAGTTACTATGCAAATATTCTGTTCCACGTGTTGTTTTAAATCAATTCCCGTGTGTTACTTTATCCTATCCCTAAAAGAACAATGCATAAAAGATGAAACGTAAAACGTGTATATTACCACCTGACCGGCGGTGGATGTAGCTCGGACTCCAATTTCGAATATGCGGAATAGCTTACTCACGACGGCTGTGCTATGATCAATTTAACAGCTTTTTCTCCGGGACCAATTGTCGACAGTAAACAAAGATTTTGGAACTTTATGGAACAATTTGTTGATTGCAAACTTCACTTTCAGTTCATTTTTCACAGCCGTCACATGTGCACTGTTGTGCGACGGTTTTATTTATTGTCTTTCAGGCACTCAATTGGTTAATCAGTTTGAAGGGAGTAAATGACAGTTTAAAGCGAATAGCTTTATCAAAATAGATACAGAAATCAATTAGACTAGTTTTACTGCTAAAGTAAGAGACAATGGCGCCACTGTTTACGATACAGCCCTATTATTCATTGTCTCTAGATCACAAGGGGGGTTGGTTTGATTAACACAATGATTTCTGACTTGCTTACTCTCCTATTTACGCCGAACGACCTATTTCATATGACAGAAGAGCGATGTATTTGGTAAGTGGAGACAAGAATTAAACGGTTGTTTGGGACCGCTAATCTCGGATTTTCTTTCGTTGTACCCAATTTATCTCAGGCTGCTTGCGCTGCACTGGTCATTGTATTCGAAATGCTTTAACCCGTTTTTCCATAACCAAACTACTCACGTTGGTGAACTTTGAAATGACGATTGTGAGACGAATTAACAAACGGATTTTGATTATAACCTTACTAAACTGACATTTTGAGTACTGTGCTCCTCGGGGTGCGCAATTCTATACCTTTTTCAATTTAAGATGTCTCAATATCAATTTAAGATATCACAGCATCAATTTAAGATGTCACAATATGAATTTAAGACGTCCGAGTATCAATCTAAGATGTCATGTTGCTATGTGGCTAGTGCGATAGTGCGATTGCTCAGTCGTTTCACATTGTGTTGTACTTTTTGTGATCTTGTTGTCGCGCTTAGTCTATCCGCGTGGTGAAGGCACGCCTGCTGTACAGTCGAAGTTCACTGGGCCTGTCTCAGACTCGCGGCTGTAAACAAGGTGTGGCTTCTCGCCCGGGTTAGTTGGGCAAGCACCAGGTCCCTTGTTGCTGCTGTACTATCCGACCGATCGACGACTGAACCCGATCGACCGTGTGATCTTCGGATCGGTATTGGCGGCGGATAAGCCCTGGGTTCGATGCGGCTGAAATGTTGGTGGAGAATCACCACAGAAGCGATGAGCCATGTGGGAAATTCGGAATGGAAAACGTTTAAGCGGTGACGATATGGGCCAACGTTTGACTCGTCTAAGATACACTATTTTCGGCAAACGGATAACCATAATGATAAAACTTGTCTTATGTATGGACTACAATATCCACTAATACAAGCCAACGCCAAACTCTTCTTGGAGTTTCACTAACTGGCTTTTCCGCGTTGAACGATTTTGCTATCCACGGATGAGATACAGTTTGTTCATATCATTTATTCTCGGCACTCAAGGCCAGGCACGTTTAATTGACAATCATGCATCCCAGAAACTACGTACATCGAAGTAGACAAGATATAAATTATTGTCCATACCTAAAGCAATAATATGGGTGATAAATATGATGAAACTCCCTTTGATCATAAAGAAAATATTTTAGTGCATCATAATCGGCCAGTAATGTAGATTTCCGAAAGAAAGAAAGAATAAATATTGTGGAAAAATGCATATTTATTTTATAAAAGTTGTTCAATATGTTTTCCATCCTGCTGCCTTCACAGCGAAATACGACAAAGGTAGTTTTACTTTTGCACTAACCCACCGGTGAGAATGGTTGAATTTCGGTTTCAGTTTGTACGACCATTAACCATGCACTATCGTGCGATTTTCAAGGTAAGACATCGCATTGACTGCGCGAACCTCTGCGAGATCCCAGCCTCCACCAAAGTATTAGCCTGTCATAGTTCGACGTCTGGCGCCCTTACGGTTGACGGATTTCTTTACCTTTTCTCAAGTTGACCATTTACGCCCCATACATAGTCGGCTAACAATTGCAGTGCTTCTTAACCTAGCGAGAGCCGTTGGTTCAGTTGACCGCAAAACCATAATGGGTTGATTCACTTCTTCAAAAATAAACGCCCGAGAAGTACGTTAACTTGTCGAGGTCGCTGTACTCGCATACTTCGGGTAATGTAAGGGTTTACGATGGGCTGAGGAAATCTTCCGTCATCAGCAGTGATGTTCGTTAAGGGTGCCCTATCTCGCCAATCCTATTCAGCTTCGTCGTTGAAGAAATACTGGAAAACACATCTAATAGGCTCAAAAACGCTCGCACTGAATGGGTAACTGGAGGAAAGCTATGCTATTCGTAGTACGGTGACGATCTCGTTTATCTGTTCGAACGTAGGGAGGATGCGCAGGGCGCACTTGACAGATTGATAAGTTGTTACTTCATTCAGTATGCTTTCTTTCACCCTCCAAAAATAGGCTCAGTCCCTGTCCAACTAACACATTCTGACTGACCTTGTGTGTATTGTGAGCTTAGTAGCGATGAGTGAAGTTCACTTTACTGTTTTCCGCGGCCTACGAAATTTACCGGCTTTGAGCTGCACAACCTTTCTGTAATCGACCCACAATTGAATCTTGGATCCTATTCTTTGTTAGGATTGTTTTACCTTGATTTGTTTTGCATACAGTGTAGCCGGTTCTTACGAAGAAACGTAGGTTCTCATGGTAATGGAGTTCAACCTCTGTTTTCCATAACACGATAGTGTGTAAGTAAACAAAAGCCGAATTTTGTTGAAGGTGTAATTTTTGTATTTGGAAACAATTTCTCCAAGCGAACGCTTCTCCACCTGTCCACGTTTTTACGCCTTCTCCCTAATTGGATACTGTGCTTACAAAGCGAATCGTATTACTCAGAGCAAGACGAGTTTAAACGCTTGTATTCCGCTAAGCGCATTGTTTTGGAACCACATGGATGAATTTTTTTTGCATGATACTAGAACAATGGAAATTAGTAACAACAATGCACAGTAGCTCTGATACAGAGTCTGAAAATATAAAAAGGCTGTGGTCATATTTATTTACACAAGGACAATTTCCCCCGAAACATCGGCAAAATAGGCTGACGATTTACAATAAGCGATGGCCTTTAAGACGTTGGCTCGGTGCTACCTAGAGTAACATAGTTCAGGTAGCTTTCGCTCCCGCTTTGCAAGCTGAGTTACGAAGAGCCCAATTCCTGAGTATAATGGTCAAAGAATCGTGTGCATATGGCATCCGCCATCGTTGAGTCAACCGTTGCTCCCCTACTTATCGAACGACATACATTAGAGTAATGAAGGAACAAATTGTCATTACATATATGTGACTCTTGCATTTATACAGGTTTTGTCATGGTTGCAGGCATTCTGTCTAATCGAAACTTTATAGCTACTGTTTGGAATCACTGTTCCCTCTTTTATTGCGCCCCATGTTAGTGGATATGGAATTCTACGCATTCTGACTCTCATTGATCACTAGTGCTTTTACTACACACCTCAGCGCAATATTATTTTTAAAATGGATACCATTTAATTGCAAGGACCAAATACGTTAGGTTATGAGAACCAACCAGCTGTAAATTGAATTGGTGAACCGCATAAGATCTCGAGTGACAGCTGCACAAATTCGGGTATTCGAACCTCAAAATCGAAGGTCTGACGTCCATTGCAGCAACTTCAACTAACGATCGTATGTGATAATGACTAATAATCCAATTATCATATTCCCCCCTTTCATGTATCCATAGGACCTTTTACCAAACTTGTGAAACACTTCCCTGGTCGTTCGCTGCTTTCGTTGAGGCATCGTTTTCTCCTGTTGTATCGGTATTCGCGCATTTGGGGTGCCTTGAGAGAAGTGCTCAATCAGCAGTCACGCACTGTCGAAGATGACAGTTGGAATGTTATCCCTGATTCGGATCAGGCGCAAACATCTTTGAATACGGTAGGCGATGACTAATCTAAGCAAATGCTTTTCAGTCTAGTTGAGTGATGAGAGTGAATTCTTTAACATCATTATTCACCTGAGATGGTTTTTTTACCTGTACCTTGCCGATTTATACCGCTGCCACCCGACTTTGGTGGTAGACAGCTCTGCTGTCACCCGGTTCAATACTACGCCTAACCTGTCGGGGCCTTATGTGGTTCGCCACTTCAAGTCTCGGGGCTTAGGTTACCGGTTTCCACCACAGAACAGCAGGTCCTCGTGTCTATGGGGTTCACCCTGTTTGCTGTTTAACACATTTAGGTATGTAATAAAAAATAAAAAAAGTTATGCCTACGCGATTTCAGTGATTCCTGTTTATTGCGCATCTTAAGTATCCTTACAACGATTATCATTCTGATTAGCGGCTTTATAGTAATAATTATAATAATAATGGAATCGGGCGTTTGTCGCTTTTTCAAATTACCACTTTCCCAATGTTTGAGGCCAATCATCATGTTATCTTCCATCATTTCTGGTATTGATTGTTTTTATTTTTTATTACAAAGCGTCGTCTGTTTTCCCAACCTCATAGGGATTCAATTGCAAACGACGGAATGATCTTTGTTGTGTTCGAATCATTTTTAACGTTCACTCATGATTGTTCCTCGAAATATAATGAAACCAAATTCACTGTTCGATGCCAAGCTCACGACGTGTGTAAAGAAAGTAAGAAAGATCGTATAAGATACATCCGGATTAAACACGTTTGGAGGTGGAGCGAAATGTTGCGGATTAAAAAATGGTCAGCGTCTCAAGTACACACTATTTACCCTTAAGAGTATCTGAGATGCGGGTCAGAGTGCCGTTTATAATTCTGCTAAAAAAACAAGAGATACCTACTTTGTTTGAACTCTCTGCGCACTTACGGTACCGCCACTGCAACCAAAGCGGGTTTCGGCAGATAACTGCCAGGCATGCTCAAGGTGTTGTTTTCCGGCTTTTTAAGGAACTATTTCACTAAAAAAATTATATTTTTTGTGACCGGATTCGTCCGCATAATGAATGATACATCAATGAATAGTATCGATTGCTTGGTTCTTACCGCTCATCTGGTTCGCATACTCGGCACCCTTCAGTCGAGTCAATTGTTATTCCGGTATATGTTGCACTGCAGCCATCACATTAGAATATCCGGTAGTTTTCATTCAAGAGTATTTCTTGATGAGTTCTTGTATGATTGGCAATGATCAGATGGTATAAGGCATCATCAGACGCTTGGTACTTTGTTCAAATAGTTGTTTGGCAGATTTGAAGTTTGTATGTCGATTGTGAAAAGTTCAGTAGCCTCGGTGGGATTCGAATCCCAAAAAGAGTAAAAGATTGAAGTTAAATAGGCTAAAAATAATTCCATGTTAATTCTATCGATCAGACACAACCTCGGGACACGCATGCCTAATGAACGATCGGGACCACACAATCGGTTGTGCGCTTCCCAAGAAAATTTCGTTCGACCATTCAGTTAATTAAATTATGATAACTCGATCTTTGAGTTAAATTTGTTGAAAGGAATAGCTTCCGTCCCAAACAGTTCACATGAATTTTTTTATGTCACATTTACGGACTCCGTAAAATCTTGCTCTAAAAATTAACACCAAGGTATGTAAATGAGGATAGGATAGGATATGCAACGCCAAAATGTGCACTATACCAAAGGTGTGTGTAAATAAGTTGCCACTTGCTTTCTCGTGCTGTGATTTATTGTTCATTTACCTTTGTTCCCCATGGGCTACACTGTATCACAGGAACAATGCGATGGTGTACCGCTTACTGCACCAGAAATGCGTCAACTTCTGTTGTATTCTCCATTCACCTGTTCATTTGTTTCACGGTTGCGCAAACAAGGTATTTCTAATCCTGAAGCCGAGGCACTACGTTTGGTAAGTCATGTCGAAGATTCCTCACCATTTCAGTCGGCGTATTATTCTACCCGCCAATCTAGCACTACTCATTTGCGCATTTGCACATATGATTTCGTTCCCCAATCCGAGGGAATACTTACCTCTCAGGCTGGATGCTGCGCACCATAAACAATCGTAGTTTTGTAATTTATTGTTTTGAAGTGACCATCCTTCGGATTTGACCTTCACACACAATCTTCGGTTCATCGATTCAACTATACACTCTGAAGCACTAGACTCGAGTTTCGCTCTTATTAGAGCTCATCAGTAATGCATATCCACCGTCCCCTCCGGGATTTGAACTCCGGACCCATCGCATGGAAGGCGTGTGCGTTACCACTGTGCCGAACAGCTCATACCATGGCTGAACCAAATTGCCAATTCACGTTTGTTCAGGTGTCGTCTTCAGTGATATTCAGTTCATTTGGCCCGACGGCAACGAAGGGAGACACAGAGGACAATCCGTTAACTTCAATCGAAAGCCTCCCACCAAGTCAGAACTTCCATGCAGGTTACGGGCTTTTTCGCCAACGAACCTACAGGGTCAGATTGACAATTCGCATTTCACGCACAATTACTTGTGAGTAGTGGTGTGGGATAATGGATATTTATTGGTTTGAACTAACTATCCTTGTCCACCGCTTTCTCAAGCCACACCTGGATGTGTTCGGCCATTCGGTGGTGTAGCTGCATCTCTATCATGCCTTTGTAGATGACCGCATAACCACCTTTGAATTAGTAAATGCAGTTTGGTGGAGGGGTGGTATTAGTTCCTTTACTGAGGTCGTTGGTATCCGGGTGGTAGCGAAAACAAGGACCGAGTCAACTGCGTAATAGACGTGCCTGACCGCACAGTTCAACTGCTTGTTAACTGCCTGATTGACTTCATCGCCTTTGTACGACAACTTTAAATAAGCTTCCGTTTTGTCAAGAATTATTGGTTTTACTACTCTTGATGTTGCTTAAAAATGCTTGGTGATGTATGCAACTGTATATCCGTTTACTTATATTACCTCTTAATAAATCGCTTATCGTTTGGAGAGCTTCTGTACGTACTTCACGCGCTCTGTGAAGTGGCGTATGAACGATTCCAATCTGGAATCGCGTGAGGGTGGAGCTCGGGAAGTGCAAATATTAGCCACGTGTTCTCACGAAAGACAGATCTTTTGATCGATCCATCCGGTCGGTGAATAATATGTATATATTTAAACTCAATGCGGTCGTTCCGTTCGTCTTGAGGAGTTAGGTTAGTGCTGGAATGAATTATGTTGTTGTGCGGTTCACTGCAATCATTGCCGCCACCCGCAGTCCCACTTGTGTCTGTTCCACTGCGGCCAGCAAAGCCGATCGATATTCCCAACGTGACCTTTGTCATTGTTCTGTGTACTTGTGACCTCTATTGATCCGGAAGAGCGGGCGACCGAGACTTCTCTCGCTTCACGTGACCTTTTCATACTTCGTCAGTCTCGCTGTTCGATAAAATGCAAAAATGGGACGTCGCACGGTATCAACAAGTGCCGCACCAGGTGTTTCGATGGCATCGGAAGTATACGGCTTACGGAGCTGTAAGAAAAAATGGGGATATTATGCACACACTGCCTGAAACTTTTTTACCTTTCATGTGCTAAACTCTTGGTAAAACAGGCAAAACAGTTAGCCACTCAGCCAAAAAGTATATGGTCTTGTACAAAATGTACGGAAATCCCGATTGTATAAAGCATTACTTGTATCGCACACACGTATGAGACGCTATTGTGAGCCACCGAAGAATGAGCGAATTCAAAAATCTCCACACTTGAGGCAAAAATAACGGACTTAAGTTCACAGATCACACCAGTTAGCCCGATCCGGAAACCTAGCTAACGACCAAAATGCTCCACATAAGTGGTCACCCCACGGCAGCAGACGCACACGGCAGAACTGAGCGCGACGACAAAAGCAACAATAGAAGCACTTACTACCTCGGAGCCCACACACACCCAGTGGCCTCCCTCATCTACTTCTTCAAAGAAAACAGCTCTGCCTGTAAAAAAGAAAGACGCGACCAACACCTTTTTGACTGTGATTTGCACAAACATTTCCGAGTCCACGGCATTGTCATTGAGAGAGAGACAAGACGAAGAGCTGAGGTGCTGAAATGCTCTGTGTACGCAAACGGGATCAGTGCCCAACCTATGGGTCTCATACGCCTTCGCCGACAGCCTAATTCACCTCACGCCGGTGAACCCAGGTTACTTCGGGTGACACTATGTAGCGAATCAGACGTAGAAAACGTTCTTCTGTCCAGCTTTCTCCTTCGAGGAAGTTCAAGTAAAATAAGGATTCTACCAGACAGACCATGGAGCGAGCGCGCGCACCAACGGAATAACACAGACAGCGTACGGGAAACAGACAATAACAGGGTGATTCTTATACACGGAGTCCCACAATTAAATGATCCAGACATATCAAAATGTCAGCAAAATGATTGTAAAGAGTGGCGGTTCATTCAAGATCTCATCGGATGTCGTCAGGTCACGACTACAGCAGTTAGCCGTCTCCGCTGTTCTCCTAACTACCGCGGAGACGGCCCGGGAATTCTGAAAATAACTCTAGACACACCAGAAATGGCTGTAACTATCTTACAGTCATGGTATGACAACAAGATCAAGGGACCATTAGAACTGCGGTTGAGACCGATGCACAACCCAGGAACAAGGAGTGTTTCTCAGGCAGAAAATATCACCTCCATACAAGC